ATAAAAATATATCATTATGGTAATGAACAATAGAAAAAACTAAATATAAAAAATAAAAACAAGGAACCAATTGACAGTGTTAGGGGCAAGGAACCACCCTCCACATCCCTACGTTGGTATGATATTGTCTAATTTGAGAATAATCTTCATACCTTTACTTTTGGTATCACCCAAAAAGCCTCGTACTAATGGAGATGTTGTCCCTAACTTATATGTCAATTAAATTTAAAAAGAAGTTTTTTAGGGAAGAGAAAAAAATAAATAATAGTTTAAAAGATACAAAAATATATTATTATGGATAATTGACCATATAAAACCCAAATACAGGGAATAAAAACAAGGAACCATTTGAAAATGTTAGGGGCAAGGAACCACCCTCCACATCCCTACATTGGTATGATATTGTCTAATTTGGGCATAAGCCTCATAGCTTTGCTTTTGGTATCACCCAAAAAGCCTCATACTAATGGAGATGTTATCCCTAACTTATATGTGAATACAACTTAAAAAGAAATTTTTTGTGGAAGACAAAAATAAATAACTTAAAACATATAAAAATATCATTATATGGATAATGAACAGGAGAAAACCCAAATATAAGGAAAAAAAACAATGAATCTAATCAAAGTGTTAGGGATAAGGAATCACCCTCCACATCACTACATTGGTATGATATTGTCTAATTTGGGCATAACCCTCGTAGCTTTGCTTTTGGTATCACCAAAAAAGCTTCATACTAATGGAGATGTCGTCCCTAACTTATATGTAAATAAAATTTAAAGAGAAATTTTTTGTGAAAGAGAAAACCAAATAAATAATAAATTAAGACATATAAAAATATATCATTATGGATAAAGAACGGTAGAAAACCCAAATATAAGAAAAAAAACAAGGAACCAACTGAAAGTATTAGGGGCAAGGAACCGCTCTCCACATCTCTACATTGGTATGATATTGTCTAATTTGGGCATAACCCTCGTAGCTTTGCTTTTGGTATCACCCAAAAAATCTCATACTAATTGAGATGTTCTCCCTAACTTATATCTCAAAAGTTTAAAAATATATTTTTTGGGGAAAAGAAATTAAATAAATAATAATTTAAAACATATAAAAATACATCATTATGGATAATGAACTGTAGAAAATTCAAATATAAGGAGTAAAAACAAGAAACCAATTGAAAGTGTTAGAGACAAACAACCTCCATATCTCTACATTGGTATTGGTATGATATTGTCTAATTTGGACACAAGCATCATAGCTTTGCTTTTAATATGACCTAAAAAGCCTCCTACCAATAGATATGTTATCCCCAACTTATATGTGAATAAAATTTAAAAATAAATTTGTTGGGTAAGAAAAAGAAAAATAAATAATAATTCAAAACATATAAAAATATATCATTATGGATAATGGACCATAGAAAAATCTAAATATAAGGAATAAAAACAAGGAACCAATTGAAAGCGTTAGGGGCAAGGAACCACCCTCCACATCTCTACATTGGTATGATATTGTCTAATTTGGGCATAACCCTCATAGCTTTGCTTTAGGTATCACCCAAAAAGTCTCATACTAATTGAGATGTTGTCCCTAACTTATGTCAATAAAATTTAAAAAGAAATTGTTTCGAGAAGAGAAAAAATGAATAATAATCTTTAAAAAATCAAATAAAATAAAATTTAAAACATATAAAAATATATCATTATGTATAATGAACAATAGAAAAATCCAAATATAAGGAATAAAAACAAGGAACCGATTGAAAGTGTTAGGGGAAAGGAACACCCTCCAAATGTCTACATTGATATTGGTATGATATTGTCTAATTTGGGCATAACACTCATAGCTTTGCTTTTGGTATCACCCAAAAACCGAAAAAACTCATACTAATTGGAGATGTTGTCCCTAACTTATATCTCAATAAAGTTTAAATAAGAGTAAGAGCATGGGAGAACAGTTATAACATGAAGATAAACCTGAGGGGTACTCAAACATTGGAGTCAAGAAAAAAAGGCCTCGCAGCCATAATGATTCTTGCAGCAATCCCAACTACGGTCCCATAAAGTCAACCTGCAAAAACCACAAAAGAAGTAATTGTAAAACAATTGATGCAACAAAGAAATGTAAAATGTGCTCTATATTCATAGCAGTTCACGAATAAGTTCATCTTAATTCTTTTGAGAGACATATGAGAGGATTCTTTTGGGATGGGAAGGAGAAAAAGAATATTTCTCACTTGGTTAGGCGGAATAAGTTCATCTTAATTCATACCGTTGGATATGGTTGGTGGATAATAGAAGTTGGGTATTTGCTTTTCTTTATAGGTGAGATGCAGAAGAGGACACTAGAAGAGTTCATAGAAGGAAAAAGAAAGAAAAAGGGGGAAAAAGAGGAAAAATGAAAAAGAGGCAAATAATAAATAGAGATGAGGTTGTTTGTAATTCAGATCTTCAAGGGTGTTTCTTTTGGAGGTTTTAGATCATCATTTTGATGTCTTGGTTTGTTGAGTCACTATTGGTTTCTTGGTTTGTTGAGTCATGGTGGAGACTTATTTCTTGAGAGAGATGATAGAAGAAAAAATAAAGACAAGAAAAGAAAGGAAAAAAAGAGGAAAATTAAACAGCAGACAAGGAAAGAGTAGAAGAAAAAAAGTGTACGGAAAGAATAAGAGAGAGAGGAAAAAAAAAAGAAATGAAAAAGGAAAGAATGAGATCGTGTGCTGTAATTCAAATCTTCGAGGGTGTTTTTTGTGCGGATTAATCATGGATTTTGTATTTTCCAAGTCAAGGTTGTTTCCTTTTCAACTATTATGGGAAAATATTGAGTTGGGAAATATTTAAGAGTGAGATGAACTCTATACACCAAACAAAAAAAGGTTCCACTACGCCTCTCCACAGCCACAATTAAAAAAGGGATCAAAGGATCCTTGCCTGAGCTCTGTAGTGATCCAAATCGTTCTCTCATGTTTATCATTAATTATAACGGAGAAAATACCATTAACCATAAGTTTCCAGTTTCCCCAAGCCCCAAGGCATTGATGCCACCAAACAAATACATATAGAAAATTTAACCTAATGTACTCATGAGTTTAAAGGATTAAACAGAACTAGAGGTTTCAATGTTAGCATATTTTGAAGGTAACGAGTAGGACTAATTTTAAAGATATGGACTAGTTGCCAATAGCTACATAGGACCAAGTAACACCATTAAATGGTAATGTAACTATTTTGAGTTCAAAGAACGAATAGTAGATAGACATACCTTGGGATAATACCTTCCCATATCTCGTTAGTAGAGCCAAAATCATAAACCAGAGCATGTCATCCCTGAATGTACAAAGATGTAATTGCAGCCGCTTTTATTTCAATAACATGAATTATTATACCATTAAATGCTAGTTTACCTCAACAGCGACATGGGTCATTTTGTTCTCACTTTCCTCCCAATAAGTGATTTCAGTGTTGCTTCTTCAGCAGGCTTAATGGTTCCAGAAGAAATTCAATTGACGACTTGACTCCTCCAACTAGGAACTGGAGTGTTTAACTCTGTTAAGCTGTAGATACCAAAATAATACTTGAGAAAAAAGAAAAAGAAATAAACAATAAAAAATAATGGAGAATAAAGGAAGTAGAGGCATCAAATGGGGAGCACTAATTGATTGTTGGTGGCGAAATGAGGGAGATGGCCCAATAAAGGATATGGAGGCATCAAATGGGTTATTCCTGCCTATTTCTTCTATGCCACGACTTGAAGAAATCTATCCAGGTAGTAATAAGCCCTCAAAAGTCAATAATAGTAACCATCTTGGATTAGATGGAGGAGAGATTGTAGGCGATTTTGTCCTGCTTAAAGTACATCCACCATGACTCCGCAAGCTACTATACTTTCTTATGTCTGCTAACATTATTCAAGGTAAATAAAGAGGGAATATGACAAACGATAGAGGGTGGACAATTCGTTCTGTTAGTTCTAGGTTTGAAAATGGACTGGAAGACATGTATGACTGCCTATTTAGGTTTACAAATAACTCATCCCTCCTAGATCCAAATAAAATGGTGCAAATATGAGTGAAATGAACTTCTCTCCTAGCAAAGGCATCTTCCACTAAGCCTCTATCCGTGCCTCTCAAAATACGTTGCCAAAGAATATCCTTGCAATAATTGTCACAATTCTAAATATGCAGCCAAGAGATAATGCAATTATTTTAAGTTCAAAGAATAAGTAGGGAGATATACCTTTGAGAAAATACTCATTCTCACATCTTATTTGCCAACAAATATGAATCATAACATGTTGTCCTGAAGTGTACAATAGGATGTACTTTCAACAACTTTCCTTACTGAAACATGAAACAGTATACCATTATAAGATGGTTTACCTCAACAGCATCGTTACCAGTTATAAAATCTAACTAGCATCTCTGATCCTTCCACTTGAAAGTGAAGTATTTAGTTGAAGATACCCCAAGTAATAACTGAGAAAGTGGAAAAGGAAATCAAATGAGTTAAAGAAAATGAAGAAACAGTGAAGTCAAACAGCATAACGACTTCGAGAACTTACAAATTTTTGCTTTCCTCTCATGTCTCCAAGGATAGAATCACTTTCGGCATCCCTTGAATCCAAAAACTCAAACAAAACAAAATTTAGATTGCATACTATTCTATACGCATATCAACTCACACCCTCCAAAATGTTTGATAATGGAACCAATATAATGAATATATATAACTTTCATAAAGGGACTAAGGTATGAGGTGCCTATTTGTGAAGTCTCCTCTTTTAAAGCAGAACAATGTCGTCAAAAAATGCACAATACGAAATTGTTAAAACTTTTAACGATTCCCACTGGATGGTTTTTAAAAATTTTAACATTGCGCTCAACGTATTATGAGAGGTAAGAAGAGTGTTCAAGAAAAAAAATAAATTTTCATTACTACAACTAACGAAGGAATATTTTCTAACCAGTTTTGAAAAGTCCAAAGTAGCCCAATCCCTAAGTCTGTACACTCAGCTCTGTCTTGGTCTATGACGAGAAGCAAAGCACAGTTATATGCAAAAGCGCAGCAAAAATTAGGTTACAAACATATTATGAACAATAAAAGGATGAAAAGTCAGAGTAAATAAAATAAAACTGTGCCTTTCAAAAAAGAAAATAATTGTTCTTTTTTTTTATAAGAAACGACACTTTCATTGAGAAAAATGAAAAGAGATACAAAAGAAACAAAACGAGCCTACAAAAAACAACCCCGAGAGGAGTCCCTTGCAGAAACGGAGTCCAATCCAAAAGTTAATAAAATTTTAAACATATAAAGATTATAGAAGGCTAAAATTAAATTAGAACTTACAAAATGAAAGTATTTATTTAAAAGTGGGCAAAAGAATGAGCAAAATAAAGTACAGACAATTAAAAATTAAAAGCATAAATTATGTTTAAAAAAACAAGGAAATTAGGTATTATAAACACAAAAGAGTTTTCAGATATCGCTGTAAAGAGAAAGATAGAAAAAAATAATAATTTAAAACATAAAAATATATTATTATGGATAATGAACAGTAGAAAAATCAAAATATAAGAAGTAAAAACAAAGGAACCAATTGAAAAGTGATAAGGGCAAGGAACCACCCTCCACATCTCTACACCAGTATGATCTTGTCTAATTTGGAGATAACCTTCGTAACTTTGCTCTTGGTGTCACCCAAGAAATCTCATACTAATGGAGATGTGGTGTCCCTAACTTATTTGCAAACAAAATTTAAAATATATTTTTTGGAGAAGAGAAAAAAAAATAATTTAAAACATAGAAAAATATATCATTATGTAAGTGTTAGGAGCAAGGAACCACCCTTCACATCTCTACATTGGTATGATATTATCTAATTTTGGCATAACCCTCATAGCATTTCTTTTGGTATCACCCAAAATGCCACATACTAATGGAGATGTTGTCCCTAACTTATACGTCAATAAAATTTAAAAAGAAATTTTTTGGGGTTAAAAAAAAAATAAATCAATTAAATCTCAAATATTTGAATTTTAGTTACAATAATGGCCTAATATAAGGTTCTACTTCTTACATTCTACACAGAGTTCTAACGTTAACGTCAAAAGAGAGAAGTTCACATAAATGTCAATGTAGGTTAAAGGGTTTCGAAAGACTTGAATTAATTGCTTTTGGGGTGCTATTTTTTCTATCAAAGCCTGATGTAGAATCTAACAGACATTTGAGGTTTCTTTGGGTCCTTGAGGGGTGTGAGATGATTAAGGAAATTCTTCTACATCCTCCTAATCCTTTTCAGGAAACAGTTCACTGTTATGGACGGTGAGTTTCTTTGAAATTATGTAGAGAATTTGTTGGAGAGGGAAACACGATATTTTTTAGGTTGAGGGATCTTGATGGGTGTTTGAGAGCATACTTTGACTGCTTCTCTCCCGGTACATACTTGTAGATTTTTCCTATGTATAATATCTGTCGCCCCGATGTTGGCTCTACCATTCTCATTGTAGCGTTCTTTTGTAGTCTAATTGTTTTTTATGTAACATTTCTTATCAAAATAAAGCCAGGAGGTATCCTACTTGTGAATTTTAAAAAGGTCAAAACCATGAATTTCTTCAAGTTAAAAGGCACGATAAAACATATCCATTATAAATTCGAACAAACTGAATGTGACAGTAAATAATTCCCTGAATAAAATTACTGTATCAGAACAGTTTTAAATACGTACCCCAATTAAGATCAGAGAAAGCTCGATCAAAAGATTGGTTGGGTTGTTTTTGAGATATGGCGATCAAGAAACTCACGAAAAGTGGCCTTCAGCTTCATTCAAGATGCCTCCACCGCCAGAAGTATAATTCACCCAATTTTCCAGAATTACATCCTTAGTTAACAATGGATCCAGAAAAACCAGCAGTCTGGGAGACCCATTTCGTCACCTGAATTAACAACACAACCATAAGTTTACGTTCAAATTTAATGAGATCGAAGGGGATTATTGAACATTATACAGCATTAAGCCGTTAACAAGTCCTTAAAGCTCTCTATGCCCCCCATTTGATAATCTAACTCTTTTTCCGAGTTCGAGGGTAAAACCTTCTTTCTCAAGAAGAAAATACATTTCATATAGCAATCACATAATCCAGATCCAAAAAAATGTACAAATATTAGAAACTTGAAAATTGAAATAGAAACAAAAAGTACCAAGTATGGCATCAGCTTCAGCTTTAAAGGTGGTAAAAAGCAGAAGTTATGCTCCCTTCTGATGAATTTATGCTTCCATGTTAGCTTCACCATACATCCTGCGGTGTGGGACAGAATAAGCATATGCCAAAGAATTGTTGCCTCGTTCATCTGCTATGACATACACAACAAAGACCAAATCAATTTAGCATGAAATTGAAACAACATCAAGAAAGTAGCAAGGGCAAACAATCGATTTGTATCATGCATGATATTCTCTCGGTCAGTTAATTTTCTTTTCCTTACCACTTTACGAAGATCCGCATTATGCTCTACTACTCCCTCATTGTCTCTTATTAACTAATATATACTTAGCATGTACATGGAATCAGAATTAAAGTACCATCAAAAGATGAAATTAAAGGGGGAAAACATAGAAATTCAACAACTTTCACATAATACGATACAACAAATATCACAGAGACAACTAGTGCATGCTAAGATGAGAAAAAATTGCAAAGTTTAGTAATATCAGGTTAGAGATCGTGACTGACGTTAATAATATGTCTTAACTCTCTAGAGTTCATTGCAATATAAAGTTCAAAGAAACAATAGTAGATAGAATACCTTTGAGAGAATACCCATTCCCATATTGCATTAGTAGAGCCAATATCATAAACCAGAGCATGTCATCCCTGGGCATACAAAGAAATAATTTTAGCAACTTTCCTTTCTATAACATGAACTATTATACCATTAAATGGTATTATGCCCCAACAAAGCCTTAGGTCAAGGTCATCTAGTTCTTACTTTCCTCCCAATAAGTGATTTTAGTGTTGCTCCTTTCCATAGAAATTTAATTGACAACTTGACTCCTCCCACTAGAAACTGGAGTGGATTGTTTAATTCTGTTAAGTTGAAGATACCCAGAGAATACTTGAGAAAAAGGAAAAAGAATTGAACAATAAGGAAATGGAGAAATAAAGCCAATCAAAATTACCTCATCTATAACTTCAATAGCAAAATGAGGACCATTACGAGGAGCAAAATGTACTTGATAGAAGAAATCCATCCATGATAAGAGAGCCCTCGTAACTGTAAACAACCCAAAAAAACCAATTAATAAACTATTATCTGATGTTATTGAACTTATACTTTTGATCATGTCAGATCAACATTACGTTATTAGTTTATTGAAATTTTGAAATAGAAAGAAAAACTACCCAAGTAATGGCATCAGCTTCAGCTTTAAAGGTTGTAAGAACAGAACTTCATGCTCCCTTCTCAAGTTGCTGAAATTAGGCTTCCTAAGGTAAGGGACAGAATCAGCATGTGCCAAAGAATCTTATTCATCTGTCTGCTATGACATACACAACAAAGACCAAATTAATTTAGCATGAATCTCAAACAGCGTGAAGAAAGTTGCAGGGGAAAAACAGTCGATTTGTATCATGCATAATATACTCACCGTTTGTCAACTTTCCTTTTTCTTATTTGTATCATGCTAAGAAAATGACTCGTAATATCGATAACCGAACCAATATCCATTTGATTTTCGTTACCGAACATGGTGGCAGATCGTGACGTCGTTGGTGAATAGCTTCAATCCTCTCAAAACGACAAATTACAATAAAATCAACAATAATAAATAGTCAAACTCCTCCCGAATTAGTTAGAAGGATTTTCTTTACATTAATTAAATTGAGAGGACACTTGTTAATAGTTTTCATGGAATAGATGATCAACAAACCTTAAAATCGTAAGCTGCAGAGATTTAATCGGTGACGACGCATCGAGATTTGTACACCTCGGCTGATGAAGTAACGATGCTGCTGTTGCGACTCAGAAATGTGGAGATCGAAAGATCCTCTGAAGTTTGTTTCGAGACAGAGAAAAATCGGATTGAGGAGTTCCGTGATTCAAGTTCCATATTTCGCGCGTAAAGAAAAGATTGATTATGGACAAGAGAGAGAAATAGGCGCGAAATTATATTAATTCCTCGAGACATTCACGATCAATTACCAGATTAGGGTTTTCGGATGAATTGATCTTCGTGATTTGCAGTACCCAACATTAATCCATTTAAGAGGATATCAGATTGAAGTTTAAACGTTAGGGTTTCTGATGAATCGATCGAGCGTCACAACGGATGATCCGGACATCGAAGTTTGGTTGAAACTGCGATAAATTAATAATAATATGAAATCGAAATTGGTAGGATTAGGATTCTCAGGTTCGGCCGAAATTTGGGTAAAATCGCAAGACATTTATAACATTTTACAAAATCGGAATGAGTAGGATTAGGGTTTCTTAAGTTATGAAGTTGTTAATATTTGAAGAAATCGGGATGGGTAGAATTAGGGTTTCAAAGAATTTGCAGAAATTATGAAGAAATCGGGATTGGAAGGGTTAGGGTTTCATGGTTCCTTGCATCTCGATCTCCATGGTTCCTTGCATCGGGGAGAAGACCGGGTCAACGAAAATGAAAAGAAGAGACATTCCAAATAATTCGGAACCCGCCAATCGCTAAACAAAGATGAAATTGCGAAAGCCCGCCAGTCCCTTATTTATAACCATTCCCTAATGTTCATTCTTCAGTGTCTGCAATCGATGTGGAAGTGGGACATCCAATTTCCACATTCTTTTCCCTACCTTTTTTTTATTTCACTGCATATTGAAAATGAAGTAAATTCATCAAATTTATATAGCATTAATATCAAAACACCCAATATTTTAAGACATCGAAGAGAATAAATATTCGAATTTAGTGACATCAAAAAGTACACACATTTCGAATTTAGTTATATTGAAACAGTTATGTAATTATTGAGAATTACTATATCGAAACAACAAATATTTCTGAGAATATTTTTTACTAATGCACTCGATATATTGAGATAATATTTCAAAATAAATGTCATGTAAAAATAATCAAATATATCAAAGCAACCATTTCACAAATGCAACAGATATCTAGGCAATAACTATATTGATGCAATCATTAAATCAACAATTCAATAATGTTATAAAATGAAAGACAATCAAATATTTTAAAGCAACCATTGTTACCTGCTAAAAAGTAAACGTTGCATCAACAAAAACAAAATCAACATTTCAAGATAACCAATATTTCAAGTAATGTGGGATATAATCAAGATCACTATATTATATCATAACAATTGTCATATCAATATAATTAATATTTCGAATCCATTGTTGAATCAAGAGCACCGATACATTCAAACACTATTAAGGTACTTGAAGCTTAAAGTCGATTATAATATTAAATCAATCAATGTTTTGCGGCAACCATACTTCAGGACAAATGACACGAACCACCTCTAAAATATGGTAGTTACAATATTTTGATACCAATATTTCAATGTCTCAATTACTGTCCTGCATCAATATTTCGAGAAAAAAACAAAGTAACTACTGCATCAAAGCAATTGATAAATAGGATAAAACAATAGGACTGACAAGTAGAAATAAATATTTTATAAATTAAAAAATTAAAAAAAAAATCCTTCTATGAAAGTAAAAATATTTCAAGGTACATATCTCTTCCCAATATTTGGTATCACAACATTCCAGTAGTTACAAAATGTTGGGAGATTCAAGGATGATTCGAAAAATTAGAGCCATTATGGAGAATAAATCATTATACATTTTTCTATTGGCTGGCAGGGATAGCTTATGAGGAGAGATCTAATGGATTACTGGTGGCGAAATGGGGGAGATGGAGGCATCAAATGGGTTATTTCCTGCCTAATTCTTCTATGCCATGACCTAGAAGAAATCTATCAATAATAAAGATAAATGAATAATCTTTTAGCTGTAAACAAAAATTAGTTAATAAACTATTATCTGATGACTGATGTCATTGAACTTCATACTTCTAATCATGTTATATGCATAAATCAATCCTATTAAGATGGAACCAACAACATAACCAATATGTGATCACTTAAGAGTTGCTTAAGAATTAAAAATATATGAGATCTTTGCTATTTGTAAGCTTAAAACTATAGTAACCGCGATTAAGATTAAATAATTATCTTGACTTGAATTACAATCTTTAGGAACTAGCAACTCTGAAAATCTGTAAGTGCATTATTCTTCTCCAATCATAAATAAATAGAAATAAGCACCTGTTTCAGAAATAATACCAGCAATATCACATTCCAATTGTAAGTAAATGGCTCAATAGAATACTGCTGAAGAGCGAGCTATGGCATGTGGTCGAATGTGAGAACAGTTATAACATGAAGATAAACCTGAGGGGTACTCAAACATTGGAGTCAAGAAAAAAAGGCCTCGCAGCCATAATGATTCTTGCAGCAATCCCAACTACGGTCCCATAAAGTCAACCTGCAAAAACAACAAAAGAAGTAATTGTAAAACAATTGATGCAACAAAGAAATGTAAAATGTGCTCTATATTCATAGCAGTTCACGAATCAATGTTTAGGAACTACATAACCTAAAATATTTAATTCAGCAACTGCAATACACCTGATGTGGGATATGCTAAAAAAAACACAAGTCAGTAACATTGGCTACTCCAATTTTGGGAACCGTAGTGGTTCGGAAAGCTAATAGAAAGATGGATAATTGGAGAAGTTTTTAATTGCCAAAGGGTAGGGTACTGGGGATTGACTTTGTGACCATTTTTATACTTATTTTATGTCCATCTTCCATTTGGCAAATTGGAAGGTTTTATATCTTTTCCTACTAAAAATGTGTGGTTAGGTGTTGGATATTGGTTTACTTACGAGGGAAGAGGAAAGGAAGAAGTCCATGGGCAGAACTTTGAAAATGGGAAGAGGATGAAATTTTGGGAACACACTTGGGTGGATGATATATTGTTTGATGTCAAATTACCAGGTTTAAATTAAGTGGTCGAGCCAAAAAAGTCAGTTCGTTGAGTGAAATTTGAAATTCAAGTACAAAATGTTGAAATACTGCTGGCTGCCAACAGAAGATCTTGGAGGACGATGAGGAAAGAGAGCTGCAGACTATTTTGATCCCACTGAAAAATCAGTTGATGTTGGAAGGGAATGAAAAGATTGTGTTTGGTTAAAGGATCCAGATGGAAGCTTCGTAGTAGGATCTCCATATCTATAACTGATTAGCAGAGGAAATGTCATGGAAAAGAACAATGGGTTATAAAATGCGGTTTGAAGGGAATGAGGGACATGTAAAGATAATTTGTAGGAGTTTGTTAGAGACTATTTGTAATAAATAAGTATAAGATCCAAAAAAACATAATTCCTTTCCATATGACGAAAAGCTTTTCACCTTAAATTATGCTTCCTTGTTATTTTTTATGAGCATTGAGCAGGCCATCCAGGAAAAAGAAAATGATTGAATCACCTAACGTTTTGTTAATTTCTGAAATGTATATTAGACTTCTTCCCCCGCTCACAGTCACTTAGCTTCTTCACAATCATGTGGCGGTGCATAGTAGTGTAACATGTCTTAATCCTACATCTGAAATAAGAGGTTAAAAAGAGGTAAATATCATGCGTGCAGGAGGCAGAAGGGCCCTGAGAATTCAAATTAAATTACAAATGGGCGGACTACATTGTATCAAAAATTGCTATCACACTTCGGAGAGAAACGACATCTGTAATTCAAATATTTGAGCGTACGGAAAGAATGAGAGAGGAAAAAAAAAGAAATGAAAAAGAAAAGAATGAGATCGTGTGTTGTAATTCAAATCTTCGAGGGTGTTTTTTGTGCGGACTAATCATTGATTTTGTATTTTCCAAGCCGAGGTTGTTTCCTTTTCAACTATTATGGGAAAATATTGAGTTGGGAAATATTTATGAGTGAGATGAACTCTATACACCCAACAAAGAAAGCTTTCACTACGCCTCTCCACAGCCACAATTAAAAATGGGAACAAAGGATCCTTGCCTAAGCTCGGTAGTGATCCAAAATCATTCTCTTATGTTTATCATTAATTATAATGGAGAAGATACCATTAAGTTGTTAACCATAAGTTTCCAGTTTCCATTCCTAAATTCCAAGCCCCAAGGCGTTGATGCCACCAAACATATACATAGATAAAATGTAACCTAACGTTCTCATGAGTTTAAAGGATTAAACAGTACTAGAGGTTTCAATGTTAGCGTATTTTGAAGGTAACGAGTAGTACTAATTTTAAAGATATGAACTAGTTGCCAATAGCTACATAGGACCAAGTAACACCATTATATGGTAATGTAATTTATTTAAGCTCAAAGAAAGAATAGTATATACCATACCTTGGGATAATACCTTCCCATATCTCGTTAGTAGAGCCAAAATCATAAACCAGAGCATGTCATCCCTGAATATACAAAGATGTAATTGAGCCCCTTTTATTTCGATAACATGAAGTATTATACCATTAAATGCTAGTTTACCTCAACAGCAACATGGGTCATTTGGTTCTAACTTTCCTCCCAATAAGTGATTTCAGTGTTGCTTCTTCAGCTGGCTTAATGGTTCCAAAAGAAATTTGATTGACGATCTGACTTCTCCAACTAGGAACTGGAGTGTTTAACTCTGTTAAGCTGTAGATACCCAAATAATACTTGAGAAAAAGGAAAAAGAAATAAACAATAAATAAATAATGGAGAATAAATAAAGCCAATGGAAATCAAAGTATCTATAACTTAAAGATTGGTGCATTTTCCTATTGGCTGCAAAATTAGGATGGTTATCATATCAGCAGCTTTATGTATTTTGATCGATAAGAAATCCATCAATGATAAAAGAGCCCTCGTATCTGTAAACCCTTCTGATCTTGTTTGATCAACATTAAGTCATTAACAAGTCCTTAAAGCTCTCTATGCTCCCCATTTGATAATCTTTTAACTCTTTTTCTGAGATCCAGGATCAAACTTCCTTTCTCCAGAAGAAAATACATTTCATGTAGCAAAAACAAATTTATAAATATTAAATAATTGAAATTTTGGAACAGAAAGAAAAATACCCATGTAATGGCATCAGCTTCAGCTTTAAAGATTGTAAAACAGAACCTTTTGCTCCGTTCCGAAGTTGATGAATTTAGGCTTCTATGTCCGTTTCAACATACATCCTGGAGTATGCCAAATAATTCTTGCCTTTTATTCATCTAGCTACGACATACAAAACGAAGACCAAATTAATTTAGCATGAAATTCAAACAACATGAGGAAGTAGAAGGGACAAACAATTGATTTGTATCATCCATTATATTTTCTCCGGTTGTTTTCTTTTTTTCTTATTTGTTCTTAAACACATTATGAACAACCGCATTATCCTTTGGTTTCTCCTTCCAGCCAACAACATTTATTAGTTGAAAAAGGCATCTTCTACTGATAATCAAAGTATTTTTCAATATTTGGAAGACGCTGGCATCTCCCTTGTTCCAATCAATGATTGAGAAGGGAATAGATCGATAAAGTTTAAGGAGTAAGGTACGCTGGAAGAGTAAGGAGTTTTTCTTGTTCCAAACAATCGATTTGTATCATACATAATATTCTATCCATCGGTTGATTTTTAGTTTTTCTTATTTTTTCTTACAACGTCACAAACAACGACTCCCTTCTCTTATATATCTAGATGGAATTAGGAATTAAAGTACCACCAAAGATCGTGACTGACATACTAAAACGTTAATGCAATGGCATCTTTGCAAGAGAATCAAAGCAGAAAAATACTTACTGAACCAATATCCATCTTGTTTTAGTCACCGCACATGGTGATGAGTCGCTTCAATCCTTTCAACGAAGCTTAAAATAGATGTAGAGAATTTTGTAAGTGAACATGGTGACGAGATTGTACACCTCGTCTGATGAAGCAACGGTGCTATTGTGGAGAACACTGTGCGAGGCGATCGTAAAATCCTCTGAAGTTTGTTTCGATTAAGAAGTTCCGTGATTCAGTTAACAAAATAGGCGCTGAAGGGAATATTAAATGAGAGAGAGATGAGCTCACGAATGAAATAGGCGCGAAAAAGTAAAAGACGAGCGATCTCCGTAATTTATGAACGATTACTAGGGTTTCTAATTAATCGATCTTTGTAATTAGCATTAATCCATTTAAGAGACAGAGGATATCAGATTAGCGGACAAGCTTTTACGTTAGGGTTTCTGATGATTCGATCCAGCATCAAATCTGATGATCCGATCATGGAAATTTAGGCGAACCTGCGAGAAATAAATACTAACATATAAAATCGAAATGAGTGTGATTAGGGTTCTAAGATTTGGCAGAAAAATTTAAGTGAAACCTCAAGAAATTGGTAATATTATACAAAATCGAAATTAGTAGGATTAGGGTTTGTAATGTTATGGAGAAATTTTGGTGAAAACGAAAGAAGTTGTTAATATTTTAAGAAATCGGAATGGTTAGAATTAGGGTTCCAAAGAATTTGCAGAAATTATGAAGAAATCGGGATTGGAAGGGTTAGGGGGTTTCGAAGACTTTGCATCTCGATCTTCATGGTTCCTTGCATCGGGGAGAAGACCGGGTCAACGAAAATAAAAGGAAGAGACATTCCAAATAATTCGGAACCCGCCAATCGCTAAACAAAGATAAAAGTGTGAAGCCCGCCAGTCCCTTATTTATAACTATTCCCTGATGTTCATTCTTCGGTGTCTACGATCGATGTGGGAGCGGGACATCCAATTTTAACATTTTTTCCCTATTTTTCTTTTTTTTTGATATTACAATATTTCTTTTATTCCACTGTATATTGAAAATTAAATAAATTCATGAAATTTCTATCGTGTTAATATCAAAATACCCAATATTGATAATAAATATTTCGAATTTTGTTATATTGAAACAGTCATATACTTATGGAGAATTTTTTTTATTCAAACAAATTCTATTTAAAAACTATTATCTTCCAATCTCATTATATGAAGACATTATTTTATCAAAATGCAATCAATATTTTGAGATAATATTTCAAAATAACTGCTACGTAAATATATTTCAAGATAACCAATATTTCAAAATTTAGCTTAGTGATAATCGACACGCCATTGTAAACTAGGACTTTTCCATCATTGAATCTACAAACGTAGAATCACCTCCTTCGACAGATTATTGACCCGTATCAAATGCCATTGTAAACAAATAGTTATTTGTTCATGATTCTTACCGACCCCACAACGCCAATCCAATCCTCCAATTTTGAATTAGGATTTTCCAATCGTCGATTATCTACAGACGAGATTCATAGAAGCAACCTCATCACGTCACATCACGTTTTCTATCCGATTTTGAATTAGCATTTTCTAATCATGAAATTTAAAAATAGAGTTTTTTTTCGATAGCAAAAGTAGATTTACCTGATGGAATCAAATATTATTTTACCATAAGATAATTTGTTATTAGCCATAGAGTTTTATGGTTTAATAAAATAATCGTCAAGGTAGACTAGCCTATAATTATCCACCCGTAACTAGCACAGAATCGGCTGCAGGAGAGTGAAGAGACAGCTACTCTCCTAGTCCAGCCCACAGGGAAAGGCTCTTCTTTCTGGTCTACATCAAGTGCATTGAATGCCCCACAATTTGAATCAAAGAGGATGTGTCAAGAAGAAGTTCGGGATAAAATCTAAGTGAATTTGAGTGGATTCCCGACAGCTTCTCGCTTTTCATGAATGTGTCTCCCCCTCTGCTTATGTGAGTTTGACCCGCCTTTGACTCCGCTTGCTTCTGACTCCCTATGAGCCGTTTGACGACCTTACTTTTTCGAAGGRTCGGCGGGACATGGGAGCCTCAGCTCATGCATCGGTTTACCGAAATCACCTCCGCTATCCCACTTCCTTCTATTAAAAAAGGGGAGCTGCCCTTACTTAAACATTATTGTGATTTGATCAATTCAAATAACCCTTTTTTTAGGGCATTTACGTTATTACTTTTCTTCTAATTATTATTTTTCTTACTAAAATTAAAGTTAATCAATATATAATTAACCAGTTTTCAAAATTTTGTCAGATCCATAACGACTTATCAAACTTGAGCATAGTTTAATCGTTTAACGCATATTTAACTATAGATTATCGTATCAACATTTATTAACGCATATTTAACCGATTAACACATCTTTATTTATATAGTCACCCTGTATTAACCAAAATGCAACTTAAAAATAATAATACATAAATAAAGCATTCAAATGCATTAATATAAGGCCAAAAGAAAATGTTAACATAAATCTCAATATAGGTTATTTTCAAAAAGGTTCCAAAAGACCTGACTTAATTGTTATAGGTGCTCTTTTTTTCTTGTAGCAATCCCAGCCACAGTCCCACAAAGCCAGTTTTTACTGTACTATTTTAGGTCACTGTACTTATTTAATGTCCATCTTCCACATGGCAAATTGGATGGCAGTTTCTCTGCAACTCGCGCACCTTCTGTAAACTGAGATCAAATTTAAGCCTACCCAATGTGGGATTTCTGCTATCCTCTTTCCTTTCCTGAAAAATATTCAAGTACATCACATAGACAGTAGAGGATTTTGAACCACAAAAAAAAATATAATATGAAGCATCAGAGCTGTGAGATGTTGACAGCTTCTCGTAACAAAAGATTGAACAGCTCATACATGAACGGCATAAGGATGCAACTAGTGCATACTAAAATGACAGATAACAAAGCTATTGTAAGCATGACTTCAAAGAAGACCTATGTCTCATTGGACATGAAGCGAGATTGGTAGTTTTTTGGGTGTCCTATGCCATCATCTTAATGAGAAGAACCTTATCAAGGGATTTTTGGTCAGGAGAGAAAAAAATCATCTTAATGAGTTTAGTGCATGCTATGAAAAGGGTAAGGGACAGAATCAGCATGTGCCAATGAATTATTGCCTCGTTCACCTGGCTTCTATGATATACACAACAGCCTTGAAAAAGGATCTCAAATAGCCTTCCTTTCTTTTGTAGTAAGCCTATTAGTAGAGTAGGTAGCTCGTACCGCTCCTCTAGTTCAAGTAGTTTAAGAGTGAAGCTAGCTTAGTGAATCGATTTCAAAAACTCTTCCCCTTCCCCTCGTAAACTCGGTAAAGCAGCTTCGCTCCTTCCCCTTGCTTCTTTGAAAGTGTTTGAGTGAAGGCAGCATAAGTGCATTGGTCACATAGGCTTGAAAGTACCCGCTCGTGTCCTATTCAGTCAATTCCGCAGTTGAGTCTTGTTGTCAAAGTCTCGCTGATTGGCCCTGCTAGTCAAAGACCATATTAATTTAGCATGAAACTCAAACAACATGAAGAAAGTTGCAGCCTTGCAGGGGCTACTCTCGGTTTGTTAGCTATCATACATACATAATACATAGCTATCATACATGGAATCAGAATTAAAGTATCATCAAAAGAAGAAAGAAAAGCAAAAAATTTAGAAATTCAACAACTTTAAAGAAAACTTAGCGTATGCTAAGATGAAAAGTAATTGCAAAGTTTTAGTAACTTGAATAATGCCTGAAGTAAATCTAGCATAACATTGAAAAGTTAGAGATTAATTGCAAAGAAAAATATATGACTGTGACGTCGAAAGCAGAAAAATAAGGCCACCAGACTTGGTAAAAGGAATTTCGTTACCCCGTCTGATGACGTGAGGACATCGTAAGATCGAGCTGTTCAGAGTTCAAAACTGAGGGAAATCATTATGATGAATTAGAGATTGTGAATGACGTTAATCATATTTACAAACATTTACCAGATTAGGGTTTTGATGAATCAATTTTCGCATTTTGTAGTACTCAGCATTGTCCATTTGAGAGAGAGGATATCAAAATAACTAACAAGTTTGTGTGTTAGGGTTTCTGATGAATCGATCAGTTGATACAGATGATCCGAACATGGAACTTTGGAGGAAACTGCGATAAATTAATAATGATATATGAACCGAAACCAGTAGGATTAGGATTTATAAGGTTTTGCAGAAATTTTGGCGAAACAGAAAGAAATTGGTGATATTATACGAAATAAGAATTAGTAGGATCAGGGTTTCAAAAGTGAGTTCCCAAAATTTTATCTCGGTTCATTGCGCATCGCAGCGAAGAACCGGTCAACGAAAATAAAAAGAGAAAATCATCCAAATCATTCGTAACCCATCCAACGTTGAACAGACAAAATTCTGGCGCTCACAAACATCTCATTTATAGCCATTCTCTACTGTTCATTAATCAGTCGATGTGGGGCATCCAATTTCACCATTCTTCTACCTTTTTGATTTAAGATATTACAGCCATGGTTCTGACCCGACATGAGGTGTGAATCAACATTTCCATCATAGTGAAAATCGACAAAATGTGAAAAATATCAATAAAATGTCAATAATATATATATAATATTAATTATTTTGATCAATATTTCAATCGATATTTGCATGAAATTGAAACATCAACATCGACATTTAAAATCTTGATTACACCATTACTTTTATTTTATTATCATTCTTTTTTTGAGAAGGGCGAAGGGTTTGACATCACCCATTATATTTCATAATCTTGTTATATTGAAACAATCAATATTCCATGATAATTATTATATCTAAATAATCAAACAACAAATAGTTTTGAACAATTTTTCAAAACATAAATCAAGAGAACTTTTTTCTAATCTTGTTATATCATAAGTCCAAGACAATATATATATATATATATCGAGGCAGTATTTCAAAATAATTGTTATAAAACAAGATCATTATTTCAAGACAATCTCTATATTAAGGAAACTAATATTTCAAGGAAGCTATAAATGACAAAGTATTGAATGTTCAAAAGATTGATATAATCAAATATTTCAAGGCAACCATTATTTAAAGCAATCATTCTACTACGGTAGTCAATATTTCAAGCCCATCAATACATATTATTGATATAAACTAGTGACTAATTTATATCAAAAATAAATAAATATTTTATAAACCAACAAAATTCATATAAACTAGTGACTAATTTTTCAAAACAATGATATTGAGACATTTATCAATAAAACTATCCTATCAAAACAATCAATACTACGCATCAAAAGGTTGTGAGTTGGAATCCCCAGTCCCATGGGCTAAAAAAAATAAAATAAAAATACTACTTGATCATGTCGATGCAACAATATTTCAAGGAAAACAAAGCTACTATAACAAAACAATTGATAAATAAGACAATAAAAGGACTAACCAGTGATTTAAATACCGATCGACATATTGACATGTCGATGTGTCGACAACCTCCACTTCGACAGGGGAGTAGAAAGTCCTTTTGCCAAAATACAAATGTTGCGATATCCACGACATTTCCAAAATATGTCTTTTACTAACATAAAAAATACTTTTAAGACAAAAGGCCCAATTTTTGACAAAGGCCCAGCACAACGATTAATTATAACCTAATTAAGTTACAACTAAAGTCTAATTGACTAATTCAAAAAATTTGTACCAAAATTTGCAATTTACATGTCCATCGACATACCCGTAAAATCGGGACCTCGACATTTGCATTGACATTGACTTTTCTAACCTTGGGACTAACACACAAAAATAAATATTTTATAAACCAACAAAATTACCAAAACAAACTTCATATAAACTACAGTGACTAATTTTTCAAAACAATTATATCAAGACATATTTATCTTAAAAATATTATATCAAAACAATCAATATTTTGAGACGAATACTTCAACACACCAAGAGGTTCTCAGTTGGAATCCCCAACCTCCACATGGACTAAAAAAAAATAAAATAAAAATACTACTTGATCATGTCGACGCAACAATATTTCAAGGAAAACAAAGCTACTATAACAAAACAATTGATAAATAAGACAAAATAAAAGGACTAACCAATGATTTAAATATCGATCGACATATTGACATGATCAAGTAGTATTTCGACAGCCTCCACTTGAACAGGGGAGTAGAAAGTCCTTTTTCCCCGTGTCATCAACATATCGCCAAAATACAAATGTTGCGATATCCACGACATTTCGAAAATATGTCTTTTACTAACATTAAAAAAAAAACTTTTAAGACAAAAGGCCCAATTTTTGACAAAGGCCCAACCCAACGATTAGTTATAACCTAATTAAGTTACAACTAAAGTCTTATATACTAATTCAAAAAATTTGTACCAATATTTGCAACTTACATGTCCATCGACATGTCCGTAACATCAAGACCTCGACATTTGCATCGACATTGACATTTCTAACCTTGGGACTAACACACAAAAATAAATATTTTATAGACCAACAAAATTACCAAAACAAACTTCATATAAATTACATCAAGACAAATACTTAGTAAGTAATCATTATATCGAGACATATTTATCCATATAAAACTATTATATCAAAACAATCAATACTTCGAAACAAATACTTCAATGCACCAAGTCATATTTACTAATCCAAAAAATTTGCACCAATATTTGCAATTTACATGTCCATCGACATCACATTTCTAACCTTGGGACTAACACGCAAAAATAAATATTTTATAAACCAAAAAAGTTACCAAAACAAACTTCATATAAATTACGTCAAGACAAATACCTATATCAAAGCCATCAATATTAATATTTCGAGCACACCAATATTTCAAGACTAAAACTTGAAATAAAGGAAAACAAAGCAACTACCGGATTAAAGCAATTGATAAATAAGACAACTATTATATCAAGACAACCATTATATTGATGTACTTGAAGCTTGAAGCTTAAAGACAACTACTATATTGAGGTAATCAATATTTCATATTTCGAGGCAAGAATGTATATGGTATATTCAAACATCATTATATTGATGTACTTGAAGCTTAAAGACAACTACTATATTGAGGCAATCAATATTTTCCTGCGACCCATAGTTTAAAACAACCATGACATGGACACATGATTTATCAAAACAACTACTATCATATCAAAGCAATTGATAAACAAGTCAAAATAACATCATATCGACACATTATTTATCAAAACTACTACTATTATATCAAAGCAATCAATATTTAGATCCCGTCAATATTTTGTGACCAAAAGAGCTAATTATGTTTATGCATCAATATTGCAAGGAAAACAGAGAAACTACCATATCAAAGCAATTGATAAATAAGTCAAAATAATAGGATCAACACTCGAAGAACAAAATAAATATATAATGTATGGATGCAACGCACGAAAGATTTATCCCAGAATCAACGACCTATTGCTTTCTGGGGGCAACGACACTATCCAAGTGGTTGTGGATAAGCTAAGTACATATGCAAACTTTATCTCAGCAAATAACAACCTCTAACCTTGACAAATAACAGCCCTCCTTGAGATAAAGGAAGGATGTGCCCAAAACTACGTTTTGAACTCATGAGGGACCATGAATTTGTGGTCATGTCGTTCGCTCTTTCTAATATTTTAGGTGATACATTTTAGGAGCTAATGAACCAGCTTTTTCGTCCTTCCCTACGAAAATTCATACCTGTTTTCTTTAACGATATTGTGATATACAACCCAAACGAAGATTCTCACATAACACATCTCACCATGGCGTCTAACATCTTGCAGAACAATAAGTTGAACACCAATTTGGAGAAGTGTCAATTTATGAGGGAAAAGATTGAATATCTGGGACACTGGGTCTCTGCAGGCGGTGGACGTTGATCCATAAAAAGTAAGAGCAATGCTGCAATGGCCTCAACCACGTAAGCTTGACAGAGTATTACCACCATTTCATAGAGCATTACTTGTCCCTAGCAGCCCCAGTAGCTCAGCTTCATAAGAAGAATGCCTTTTGCTGGGATGAGCAAGCCACCGCAGTCTTTGTGATAAAAATGGATGCCTCAGGTATGGATTGGGCGCAATTTTGTCCCATAATCAGCAGCCTAATGCTTTCTTTCGCCATACCTTACCCCAACAGGCCTGCCTGAAACCAACCAATTTATGAACGAGAGCTAATGGCAGTGGTACTATCAAAGTTGTTCATGGTAATAACGGATTTAGCCAAAGATAGTAAGGATGGACCAACATACTCTAAAATTGATGGAACAGAGAGTAATTTAACTCGAATATCCGAAGTGGATTTCAAAGTTGCTAGGGTACGATTTTGAAATTTAGTACAAGTCAGGGTTGGAGAATTAGGCAGCATATGCATTATCCTAAAGCACACCAGTAGCCCACACAGCAGCCTTTTCAGCACCGACGCTATTAGACACCTAAATAATGACCCATACTTGTTCATGGTAATAGCGGATTTAGCCAAAGATACCAAGGGGAGCCCCAAGTTTAGTATGCAACAAGGCGTGTTGAGGTATAAGAACTGCCTGATACTGTCCAAGAAGTCTACTCTAATTCCTACCGTTCTAAAGTTACACCACAACTGGATCTATGTTCTTAAAAGCTCAAGGCGTACTAAAGTCCAATAGACCTCTAAAGCATGTAAAAGCTTAAACGCAAGGCACAAAAAAGTGCGGGCTTTTTTTCACGAAGCGTTTTATGTATAAAAATAAATAAAAATATATATCCACATATAAAACATGTAAAAGCAAAATAAGATTAAAAAACATTATAAGTTTTTTAGCATAAAGAGTCAATGGTCCACAAAAACNATTTCGAGGCAAGAATGTATATGGTATATTCAAACATCATTATATTGATGTACTTGAAGCTTAAAGACAACTACTATATTGAGGCAATCAATATTGTCCTACGACCCATAGTTTAAACAACTACTATTATATCAAAGCAATTGATAAACAAGTCGAAATAACATCATATCGACACATTATTTATCAAAACAATCAATATTTTCATCCCGTCAATATTTTGTGACCAAAAGAGCTAATTATGTTTATGCATCAATATTGCAAGGAAAACAAAGCAACTACCATATCAAAGCAATTGATAAATAAGTCAAAATAATAGGATCAACACTCAAAGAACAAAATAAATATATAATGTAAGGATGCAACGCACGAATCTCAGTAATACTATAAAAAACAATGTAGCAATGGCAGTAACCATTCAAACAATGTAGCATTGCACGCAGATTTATCCCAGAATCAACGGTCTATTGCTTTCTGGGGGCAACGACACTATCCTAGTGGTTGTGGATAAGCTAAGTACATATGCAAACTTTATCTTAACAAATAACAACCTCTAACCTTGACAAATAACAGCCCTCCTTTTACGAAAACTCATACCTGTTTTCTTTAACGATATTGTGATATACAACCCAAACGAAGATTCTCACATAACGCCAGTGTTTTCAAGGCGCAAGGCGCACCTCAAGGCGACAAGCCCTTTGATCGCCTTGAGGCAAAAGGCGATACAAAGGCGACGCCCAAGTGAAGCGAGGTGCACCTTAATAAAAAATAAAAATTATATATATAGTGCATAAATTTATATAGTAATCATAGTTTAAAAAATAAATACCAAAATAGTGTCATAGTAAATGTCAACAAGATACATAAACCAACCAAATTCAATAAGTTTAGGAGCGGCGACGGTGATGGTCGGAGACGGGAGCGGGCGATGGCCAGAGATAGAGGGTGGTGAAGGTGAATGTCGAGAGGCAGAGAGAATGGTTAGGGTTTGTGGACTAAGGTATTTCGCGAGGGAGAAAGGTTCTTTTAAAACAACACATTAAAAATTTTTAAAAAATAAAATAAATAAAGCAGTTCGCCTCGTTGAAGCAATCGTCTGGCCTCAGGAGAGAGGAGCACAAAGGAGCACCGAGGCGAGCGCCCAATTGAAAGCGCTCGCCTGGGCACCTTGCAAGGCGCACCTGAGCGAAATCGCCTCGCCTCTCGTCTGAGGCGAGCGCCCGGGTGCGCCTCAACAACACTGCATAATGCATCTCACCGTGGTGTTTAACATCTTGCAGAACAATAAGTTGAACACCAATTTGGAGAAGTGTGAATTCATGAGGGAAAAGATTGAATATCTGGGGCACTGGGTCTCTGCACAGAGGGTGGACGTTGATCCACAAAAAGTAAGAGCAATGCTGCAATGGCCTCAACCACGTAAGCTTGACAGAGTATTACTTGTCCCTAGCAGCCCCAGTAGCCCAACTTAATAAGAAGAATGCCTTTTGCTGGGATGAGCAAGCCACCGCAGTCTTTGAGAAATTGAAGCATGCCATGGTGATTACACCAGTTCTAGCCTGCCTGATTCCAATTTATGAACATGGTACTATCAAAGTTGTTCGTGGTAATAGCGGATTTAGCCAAAGATAGTAAGGATGGAACAGAGAGTAATTTAACTTGAATATCCGAAGTGGATTTCAAAGTTGCTAGGGTACAATTTTGAAATTTAGTACAAGCCAAGGTTGGAAAATTAGGCAGCATATGCATTATCCTAAAGCACACCAGTAGCCCACATAGAGCCTTTTCAGCACCGACGCTATTAGAAACCTAAATAATGACCCATACTTGTTCGTGGTAATAGCGGATTTAGCCAAAGATACTAAGGGGAGCAACAAGTTTAGTATGCAACAAGGCGTGTTGAGGTATAAGATCTGCCTGATACTGTCCAAGAAGTCTACTCTCATTTCAACCGTTCTAAAGTTACACCACAACTGGATCTATGTTCTTAAAAGCTCAAGGCGTACTAAAGTTCAATAGACCTCACTCTAAAGCATGTAAAAGCTTAAACACAAGGCACAAAATAAATAAAATATATATCCACATATAAAACATGTAAAAGCAAAATAAGATTAAAAAACATTATAAGTTTTTTAGCATAAAGAGTCAATGGTCCACAAAAACATGAAAACAATCCTAAACTAGTACATGATAGTTCAAAATAAAGAAATTCTAACATTTTGTTTCAGAGAGAGAGAAACAAAGAGAGAGAGATAACTGTTTTAGAGAAATGGAGGGAGAGCTTATTGTTTTAGAAAAAGTGAGAGGGCCTTACCTTACTGTCATGTGGGTTGAGAAATTACAAAACAAAGAACCTTGTTGGGAGTTGTTTGAAGTTGGAGAAGAAAGAGGGGAAAAGTTCGAGGAAATCGTGGAGGTTGATTTAAAAATTATGGGATTTGGCCCATTTTCAACCAGCAGCATGTGGACTTACAGAAAAAAGACCCTAAATGCAAGGTATTCTATGCGCAGTGTATGCGTCTTGCCTTGAAAAGGCGAGGCGAATTGAAAATACCTAAATGCAAGGTATTTTCAAGGCAAGACGCATACACTGCGCATAGCGCCAAGAAGCGCAAGCGCTTTTTAGAACACTGGACTCAATAATGGGGGAGACATTCTAGGTTTCTTAGGACCTACAAAAGATTAACCCGAGAGGATTATTGGCAACGGATGAAGGGGGATGTCAAGGGCTATGTAGGGCCATGCCAAGTTTGCCAAAGAAATAAGATTGTTGCAAACTCTCCAGCATGCCTCCAACCTCTACCTATTCCAGAACGTATATGGGAACATGTGACCATGGGCTTTGTCGGGGCTTACCAAAGTCTGGGGGCAACGACACTATCTTAGTAGTTGTGGACAAGCTAAGTAAGTATGCACACTTTATCCCTTTAAATCACCCATTTTCATTTTTAGAGATTGTGGATGTTGTTTTTGACAAATAAATTGTTCAACTACACGGGTTAGACAAGATATTTGTGAATCACTTCTGGTCTGAAATTGAATTATTCCAGTTGCAAGGGACCCATTTACGTTGAAGCACAACCTACCACCCACAAACAGATGGACAGTTGAAGATAGTCAATAAATGCCCGACGACGATACAACGTACCAAGTATTGGTGGGGACAACACCTTTCATTTGGCCTATGGGAGGCCCACTCCCTCTGATTGGGTATGGAAGCAAGAAAGCTACCAACGCAACATTGGATCAGTAATTGGAAGAAAGGGATGTGGCAATAGATTGCTTCAAAGATGAGGATGACGACTGTGTGTATTTGAACATCGGACCGTACTAGAAAACAGCAGCCAAGTGTCGAAATTAAAAGCTTGCAAACAAGTACTTCGGGCCCTACGCGACCAACCGGAAGAACTTAGCTGAGGAACAAGCTACATGGGAAGCGATTGAGGACCTGCAACGCCAGTTCCCTGACTCTCATCAGGGCCATTTTGCTGACACCCACCTTGAGGACAAGGTGCTTAATGAAATGGGAGGCCATGTGAGGCCCCCCATTGTTAATATCTATACTAGGAGGGGTGGAAGGATGAATAAACTTACGTGTCATTTCTATAATCACGAAATAAACTCCTCCAAAATTTGAGCCACGACCAATAGATTGGTTGACTTCAACTTCATATCCATGTAACCTGTGAAAGAAAAAAAAAAATCCTTTATTGTATTCGTTTACTTGGGAAAACTCACAGAATAAAAAGCAAGTTGTTCTCAACGTAATATGGAGAGGACAAGAAAGCCAAAGTCAAAACTACTAAGACTACAAGTAGAAGGAAGCACCTGCCTTTCATGAAACTCGTGTTTGCAAAATAAATTGGTGCATCCCCATAATACTATTGAACATTTCTATACACAGTAGTGCTAGGAAGACGCCTCTTTTAGAATATTTCTTTCTCAATTGTTTTAGTATGTGTGCTGCTGTGATCTCTACTGCAATATCTTTAGTAAGTGTTCTTGAATCTATGATCTGGTCCTCATTCTCTTTCTACTAGGAATAGAAGTATTTATAAATAAGGTTTCCACTAAGAATAGAAGTATTTATAAATAAGGTGAGTCAAGGTAAAGTAAATTACCACCGATATTTAAGTGTGTCTTCTAATTCTTCAAGTCTCCCATCAATGCACTTTCTTTCTCAGTTGTTTTAGTATGTGTGCTGTTGTGATCTCTACTGCAATATCTTTGGTAAGTACTATTGAATCTACGATCTGGTCTTGATTCACTCCCCACTAAGAATAGAAGTACATTAACCAATATAAAATTTAATAAAAGGAAAAAAATGAGAAAATAAACCCAATAAAGGTTATGGAGGCATCAGATGGGGAGCACTAATTGATTGTTGGTGGAGAAATGAGGGAGATGGCCCAATAAAGGATAGGGAGACATCAAATGGGTTAGTTCCTGCCTATTTCTCTTCAATGCCACGACTTTGAAGAAATCAATCCAGGATAATAATAAGTCCTCAAAAGTCATAACTGTAAACAAAATTAGTCAATATACTATTATTTGATATCGTCGAACCTCATACTTCTAGTTATGTCATCTGCATAAGATGGAACCAACAATGTAAACTAATAAGAAGATGAAACTATACTTATGAGTTGCTTAAGAATTAAAAATCTTTGAGATCTTTGCTAGTTGTAAGATAGCAATTAAGACCAATAAATAATTATCTTGACTTGGTAACATCTAACTGTCGGGGAACCAGCGCAACTCTGAAAAATAGTAAGTACATTATTTTTCTCCAATCATAAATAAATAGAAATACTAGTGTCAGAAAATAAGTTGATGCATAAATCCAAAATAGTCAAGCACCTGTTTTAAAGATAACAAGTAAACTACCCAAAACTACATTACAGAAAACATATCAAACAACTAACCACATGCTTCTTGAGAAAATAAACATTTTTACTCCACATGATGAGTTCTACACCAACGTCAAAAGAGAGAAGATAATATATATCTCAAAGTTTCGCACCCCACAAGCAAGGGTGTAACCAAGCCCATAGCATCATGTGCGGTCAACAATAGTAACCATCTTGGGGCAAGGAACCACCCAAAAGATGGAGTGATCAAAAAATAGAAAAACATAAATAATAATTTAAAACATATAAAACTATATTATTATAGATAATAGATCGTAGAAAGCCCAAATAAAGGAAATAAAAACAGTGAACCAATTAAAAATGTTAGGGGTAAGGAACCACCCAACACATCACTACATTGGTATGATATTGTCTAATTTGGGCATAACTCTCATAGCTTTGCTTTTTGAATCACCCAAAAAGCCTCATACTAATGGAGATGTTCTCCCTAACTTATAGGTCAATAAAATTTAAGAAACAAAAATTTGCCGAAGAGAAAAAAATAAATAATAATTTAACACATACGAAAATATATTATTATGGATAATAGAACGTAGAAAACCCAAATATAGGGAATAAAAACAAGGAATCATTCGGCAATAATAGGGGCAAGGAACCACCCTCCACATCCCTACATTGGTATAATATTGTCTAAATCGGCATAACCCTATAGCTTCGCTTTTGGAATCACCCAAAAAGTCTAATACTAATGGAGATGTTCTCCCTAACTTATATGTCAATAAAATGTACAAAGAAATTTTTTGGGGAAGAGAAAAATAAATAAATAATTTTTTAAAACATACAAAAATATATTATTATGGATAATGGACGGTAGAAAACCCAAATATAGGGAATAAAAACAAGGAACCATTTGACAATGTTAGGGGCAAGGAACCACCCTCCACATCCCTACATTGGTATGATATTGTCTAATTTGGGCATAACCCTCATAGCTTTGCTTTTGGAATCACCCAAAAAGCCTCATACTAATGGAGAT